AATCTCCATTCCCTCCCCTCTCCAGGGGAAGGATACTGTAAAATCCCTATTCCCTCCCCTCTCCAGGGGAAGGATACTGTAAAATCCCCATTCCCTGCCCTCTCCAGGGGAAGGATACTGCAAAATCCCCATTCCCTCCCCTCTCAAGGGGAAGGATACTGCAAAATCCCCATTCCTTCCCCTCTCCAGGAGAAGGATACTGTAAAATCCCTATTCCCTCCCCTCTCAAGGGGAAGGATACTGCAAAATCCCCATTCCTTCCCCTCTCCAGGAGAAGGATACTGTAAAATCCCTATTCCCTCCCCTCTCAAGGGGAAGGATACTGTAAAATCCCCATTCCCTCCCCTCTCCATTGGAAGTATACTGCAAAATCCCTATTCCCTCCCAATCAGCTGGAACATGGGAGGCAGAGAATAGATGGAGGCGAAGCCAGTCAGAGGTGGTATTTACCGCTTCTCTGAACTACACAAAATTTCCACTATACCAGTTCTACAGAACTGGTCAAAAGCTGCTGAATACCACCTCTGGTCTGTGGAGATTCTCAGTCGTCACAGTTGTCTTAAAGGTGCTTTTTTCAAAAGGCAACTGGACTTTCTTAGTGTTTTCTTTGAAAGTGAAAGTCTTCAAAGAAAAACACCAAGAAAGTCTTGTTGCCTTTTGGGGGAAAAACGAGCACTTTTGAGATTCAGAGGAGTCTTTACTTTACCTTCTTCAACTGCTCTTTGTGAAAAGGTTTTAAGCCCTCCGCTGCACCCTTTTATTGGTGATTTGCTCCCAGATTATATTGCTTTGTTTTACATTTTCATAAGCTGCCCTAATGAGCCTTTTGACAGAAGAACTGAGCAATAATACTTACCCACACATAAAATAAATCATGAGTGACTGGAATTCAGAAAGAGCAATGGGCAGGAACTAAATTATAACTTCCTGGGTGAGCAGCTAGTTTAATCTGAAGCTCTGGTTTTGGCAGTTGCCTAGAATGTGATGGGAACATGAACATTCCTAGTCCTTAACCGGTTGACATCAGGTTAAAATACATCATTCAGTCCATGGTTTTGTTTCTTGGCCACAATAGTGTGTAAAAAAGAAAAAAAAAGCCAACCATTCTGATTTCACACAGAGAGAGCCATATGTGCTTACAATTTCTGATCCTTTGTTCCAACTTTTATTATGCAAAGAAATAGAACCAAAGAGAAGACAGTGCCCTGTGGGGGTAAAACATGCCTAACACGGTATGGTGTGTGTTCTGTTACAATACAGCCTGTTGTTCCTTAAAATGGCTTCTACTCTACTGTCGTTAAAAGGGCTTCTACTGTACAACGCAGTGGGGTTGCCATGGTAACGGCTTCACGGTATTCCACATGGGGGCTCCCTCTGGTAAGGGGGAAAAATCCAACATTAGAAATTACATTTGGTCTGGACATTTTACCCATATAAATAAATACCCGGACAATGCTAGTACTCGATATAAAACAAAATTTGAAGAAGACATTGTATATCAAAGATGCACTGGCTCCCTTAACCTTCTTTTTTTACCTCTGTAAAATAAGAGATGGGCCATGAATTAGATTAAATGATTTATTGACAGGCCGGCCGACCGACCGACTGATTAGAGGTTTTTTTCTTCAACTTGAGCTTTTCAAAGCAGTATTTAATATAACAAAATGTGTGATCAACAAACTTGCATGTGGGATAAAATATGTCCTGAGATCAAATAAGAAAGATATCTACCCTCTGATGGCATTGGCCATTAGACTCAGTTGCCTTCATATCCAAGATCAGATCTACTGTTTTGCTTGTTCCACCACCGTATAAAAATGTGGTAAATGTTTGTGGAGAGACAAAATATGTTGACCTATAGTGAGAGCAATAGCAATAGACTTATATACTGCTTCATAGTGCTTTTATACTCTCTCTAAGCGGTTTAGAGTCAGTCTAATGCCCCCAACAATCTGGGTCCTCATTTTACCGACCTCGGAAGGATAGAAGGCTGAGTCAACCTTGAGCCTGGTGAGATTTGAACTGCTGAACTGCAGCTAGCAGTCAGCTGAAGTAGCCTGCAATACTGCTCTCTAACCACTGCGCCACCTTGGTTCTATCAAGTGAAAATGGGGTTAACTGATAGAAAAATAGTATGTCCCTCCCATCCCAAAACAGTAGGATAAAGGGATAAAATATAACTGCATAATTATATCTGCAGATGTATTTGGTATTCCGTGATCATACCACTAGCTACTGTGACAGTGTAGTTCCTCATAGTTCCCAGGACAATTCAGTCAATTGCCAGCAGTTCGATCCTGACCATCTTAAGATTGACTCAACCTTTCATCCCTCCGAGGTTGGTAAAATGAGGACGACCCTCCCCCTTTGTTGGGGGCAATACGTTGACTCTGCAAACCACTTAGAGAGGGCTGTAAAGCAGTATGAAGCAATATATAAGTTTAAATGCTATTGCCATTTCTTTGAGCGTCAAGATTTTCATTTCACACGCAAGGATAGCCACAATTTTATTTTTCAAACTATGCTTTGGTCATGTTCTCCCCGTAGTCACCACAGCTTATAACAGAAGGGTTTTTGTTCTCATCACCTTCCAAGAAAATAGGGAAGGTGACTCTCCCTTTTCCATTCTTGCTTGTCTGCACTTTTGTATCTCTTTTGACTCATCCCATCTTTCCTTTCCCCCCCCCCCTCCCCTCCAGAATCAACATACCGTCTTGAATCAAAGTGGAGGCACCAACCCAGGATCTTCCTCATGCCCTAATGCAAACACTGGAACTAACTACATCAACTCATCACCGCAAGCATTGCTGAACCAGCAGCTGAAACAACAGTTCCTCCTTCAGCAGCAGCAGCAGCAGCAAATACTAACAGAAGCAGTAAATATCCCAGTTTTCTTATTTTAATTCGATATACCAGTGGTGGGTTGCTGTGGGTACGGCCTGGAACAGCTGTACCGGTAGTGGCCGGGAGCAGCTGAGAGTGTACCACTACAGTGGCTTGTTTGGCTCACCCGCCCGCCTGCTCTCTATAGGCTGTTTTTATGCCAAAAGGCACACTGCGCACACGTGCCCAGCCTGCTGTGCCTGTGCGAGCCCCGACAAGCAGCTGGGTGTCACAGGGGCGGTGGATTGTGCACATCACGTGCATGCACAGCGCCGTGGCACGACAAAACCACGCTCGACTAAAGCGTGCCCGATTAAAGCGCGTCGCTGATGTCATCAACAGGGCGACAACA